GGGGGGGGGGGGGGGGGGGAGATCTGTGGCAGGAAATGTCTACCTCCAGGAAGAAAATGAACCCCAAAATAACACCCAAAAGAAATGCAGAAGAAAATCACTTTGAGGGCAAGGCGAATAAACAGGAGCTGCCTTCTCCGGGAAGTAAACTTGTGATAAACTGCAAGGGAGTTTTTGATGGCCCCAAATTAAGGAGAGAGAGGCTCAGAGAGTCAGACGGGCCCAGATTTCTCCGGAATCCTTGAGGATTCTCTGAATTCCTACCTGGATGGTGACAATTCGGGGCAGCGGCTGTCGAGTGTTTGCTCCCCCTTCGATGGCTATGCCAAGGGTTGGCGCGCTCTTTGACACCCGGATTAGATGGGATGTTGGTTCCAGGAGTCCTGGCTGTAGGAAGACAGAGGGAAGAGCATCAGTAGAGGATGGGCAGAGTCTGGCAAGGGAATGGACGTGAGGGGCTCACGTCTAAACTCTTACTAAACCACACCACTCACTGGCTAATCTTTCCTGGGGAAGTCCTTTCCTTCAGTCTAATGCTGACTGTCCAGAAGCTAATCCTGCTGCATTCAAAACTGGGACTGGCTTCCGAACTGGCAAACAAGGCCTCTTACCCTCAAAAGGAGAGTCAACAGAAAGAGGATCGCAGTCCCACTTTGTCAAACGTAGGGAAGTTGGAAGGAGGGCCAACAGTGATATTAGTGGAACTTTTGAAGCATTGACTAGGGGACAAGGCATCGATCTAAGTTTTGTTTCAGGATAACGTTCTATGCATCGGTGGAGGAGAACCCTGGAGCTTCAAACCGGTGCTGCAAAAAATTAGGCTGTCTGTAGGGGGCTTGGGGTGTGCATTGCTGGTTAGATTTCCTTTTTGCCAATGCGGCAATCTGGAAAGCACTTGGGAAATTGGAAGGTGCTCCTACACACGTGTAGAAGGCTGTCAAAGAATAAAAGCAGCCGTTTCTACCACCAGCTTGGGGCAAGGAGCAAAGGATGGATATATTAACTGCCTCCTTGTTTCTGCACAAGCTCAGGAGAGAGCAATGCTCTTCTTGCAAATGGAATAGCTTGGAATGCAGAAAGGCAATGCCGCCCTCTAGTGGACGAAAGTGTTCTTGCCACCTTTAATTTCTGCCAAGGTTGACGCTGCCGATAAGACGACTGATTAATTAAAATCTATACTTGATAGGATAGTGACATTTTATATAAATCATAAGAACATCTGAGATTAGGATGGCTCTGACCCTTCTGGCTTTTTGGAAGGCCTTGAAGACCTGGCTTTATGCCCGGGCCTGGCCCCGTTTCATTGGGAGTGGTAATACTGATTTTTTTTAAAGATCTCTTGGCTGTATTTATATTTATATTTAATTTTCTATATTATTTTAAGTGTTTTTATTATTGTTAGCCGCCCAGAGTCACTGGTCTGAGATGGGCGGCTATATAAATTGAATAAATAAAATCAATCAATCAATCAATCTTTCATTATTGATTTTTTTTACCCCTTCTCCTTGTCTAAGAGCCAGTTTGGTGTAGTGGTTAAGGCACCAGGCTAGAAACCCAGAGGTCATGAGTTCTAGTCCTGCCTTAGGCATGAAGAGCCACCCAGAGTCACCCACTGGGGGAAATGGGTGGCATACAAATTTAATAAATAAATAAATAAAATAAAGGAAGCCAACTGAGTGTCCTTGGGCCACTCTCTCAGACCTAGGAAGCAGCAGCCAGGGGCAAAACACTTCCAAAAATCTTGCCAAGAAAACTGCAGGGACTTCTACAGGCAGTTGCCAGGAGTCAAGACTGACTTGAACACACACACTCTCATACATTCATACATACAACCATGGAACCCAGAGGCGTTCTTGGGAACTGGTCCTCAGAGTTGATGCTTGACTTCACAGCACGCTGGCTGGCTATTTGGATGTGGTTTTGCGAATTCAATCCTATTTTTAAAAATGCTTCAATAGATAGCTACACCTAGCTGAGAAGACCGGGAGGCTAAGCAGGGTCAGCTCTGATTACCATATGGATGAGAGATCAGCAGGAAATCACGGCCAATCACTTTCCTATTGTTGCAGAGAAAAGTGCACATAATCATCACCTGGGGTTGCGCTGGATTTGAAGGCACGATTATTTTTTTGAGAAAATAAAATCGAGGGGTGGGAGGGGGCAAGGAACTGGGTCAGTGTGATGGAATGTATCTATGAAGAGGAGGGTGATGTGAGAGATCAAGGCTATCAGGAAGGAGGGGGTGCATTCCAGGAGGGGAAAGGAGGCAAGAGACAACTCAGTCCGGAGCAGGAGCGTGGGAAGAGGAAGAGGTTCAGGGTGGCCTCTCCCTAGAATCTCCTGGGGTATATCCACTAGTTGCAGTAGTATAGATTG